AAAAGCAAATTGGCAAATAATTTCCTATGTCCATCTACTCTGTGAACAAAAGCATTGAGTTTACTGATAGATTTTACCAGTAAATATCAGCATGCTAGTTTTACCTTCAAAGCGTTTTCACCCAAATAAGATATCTCTTGTACCATATAAGGTACCAAAGCAATTCTGTAACAATGTGGTTAAACACTTGGAGAGCTCTGTATCAGAAAAGAAATATTTTGCACTATGTGCCTTAAGCCAGTAGTGGGCATTAACACAAAATGTAGAACATTTTCAGCTATGTTTTATTTATTATTAAAACCTTGTAATTTATAAACATCTAAATAAAAACATGTTTGTGTGACACGTTAGCACTTCATTTTCATTTTCTTCACACATCAAAAAAAGAACCCCTCCCTCACCTAAAGTCACATCAGAAATTCTCCAATGTTGTTCTGTTCAAACTGTTGTGGTTGGTGTGGGAACAGCTCCTTGTGGCAAACACTCGTCTCATGACGAAGTTTGGGTAGGAAGGCTGGGAAGGCTTGCAAAGCCTCTGTAGGCTGCCCTCACAGGGGGATGCCGGTGTACTTCAGTTGGTCAGACCTCCTCATCTGAGGAAGTCTCAGGCCTTGGGTAAGGAAATGTGTTCCTTCTCAGGGCAGGAGGTCAGACACATGGCAATAGGCAGAGAACATAATCCTTTCCCAAGGTAGGGACACAGCCACCCATCCTCTACTTACACACAAATTACCAAACTGCTCTCCAGGGTAGCTTAATCAATTATAACTGTCAGGGGCTGGGGTATGGCTTAGTGGTAGAATGCTTTCCTATAATGTGTGAGGCCAAGAAGAAAAATGTTTCTGCTGGCAGGGCATAAAAATGTTAGCTTAAGGGGCTGGAGCAGTGGCTTAGAGGTTAAGAACATTGGTCACTCTTGCAGAAAAAAAAATATATATGGAAGAGCAGACCCTCCTTAGATCTCAGGATCAGCGGATTAGCAAGTTAATCTGTCTGCAGCCTCAGTTCTCTTTGCTCCTCTCGACACACTCACAGGTTACAGGGTTAAGGATGTGGGCATCTTTGAGTCTTTATTGTACTTACCGTAATACATAAAAAATATATGGAACACTTAGGACCAGATGTACTGTAGAAGTCACAGGAGACTGTGAATATGCACCCGAAGTAGGATAAACAAGACTACAAATAGCTTCGTGTCAGCTAAGGTCAGGTTTTGCCATCAGATGAGTTCAGTTTAGGTCAGATTTTGTTGTCAAGTGAGATATTTAAAAACCTTGGGTTTTGAACCTTTACCTTATAAACATGCAAATAGTATGCATAGGAATAAATTATTTTTGGAAGAGTGCAAAAATGTAAAAATCTATCCAAGTTTCCTTTGTTCCCCAAAGAGTAAGTGCTCACCCAGCAAAGTCATAGGTAAGTTTGAACTTTTAAAAAATGACGGAATCATAATCTCTACCTTTTCCTATTTGTCTCAAAATCATTAGCATAATTTACATAGCTGTTGCATGAAGTTGCAGATTTTTCTTTCTCGTTTCCCAATATGGTATCTATCTTGTGGACAAACCCTAATCCATGCATCCACTCTGCCGATTTTCAGTCGCTCTTGTGCTTACTCCACCCGTTTCCTTTGCTTTGCTAAACCACTATTGAGGTTTAGAGACACAGACATTTGAAATGTAAGAAAACCCAGAGATCAGGACCAGGATGTTTGGGAAGAGCTGGGATCAATAATGAAGCAGAGTTTCTGTTCGACATCCAGTGGGGCAAAGACTTAAGTGAGCAGATGTCTTTAAAATTCCTTATGGGGGAGATGTGAACAATGTTCACCCCTCCTCCCTAGATCCCAGTGATAAACCAAGTAAGGTTCCACCAAGATGCACACTTAGCAACCAATGAGTTTATTGGGCTTACTTCCAGAGCAACGGGTGAGGGTTTACTTACAGGAGTGTGGGTATTCCCCCAAAAGGCTGCACTGGACTGTTGTCACCCTGGAAGCTGGAACAGGCAGGAAATAGATTATTTTCTAGATATCGCTAAAGAAATGCATTATTTTCTACAGTACAGTATGATACATTTCCAGAACCATAAAATCTTACATTTATGCCTATTTAAGACACATATATTTGTGGTAATTTCTTATAGGAATAATAAAAAAGGTGTATATATATATATATTGCATTTGTGTGCTCCATGTATAATGTGTGTGTGTGTGTGTGTGTGTGTGTGTGTGTGTATCTGACTCATACAGTGCATGGCACAAAGTAGAATCTCAAGAGAAATTTAAATACATGAATGAATGAGCATATAAATGTCTTGAGTTGAGTGTGAAGAGGAGCCATCTCCGTGTGTGTAGTAGAAACTTGTTACAGAACAAACTTAAAACTCCAGGTTAAGCAATAACAGTGTCTTTTCTAGCTCAGGAATTTGCTGGCCAGCTGGGGTAGCTCATGTGTCATGTCAGCTGAGTGTCTGTCTCTCAGCATCCTTGCATAGTGGTGGCATTAGCAAGAGACCTCACTCAGCCACTGAAGCACGGAATCCATGCCACACCTGCTACTGTTATCAACAACAGAGAGTGCGTGGCTCAGAGAAGTGTGGGCATTGTGGGAGAAATACCTCAGTGAGAATAAGGGAAAGGCAGGCAAAGGTGAACAACCGAGGCGAGACATTAGTTTACCGTAACCTCTCTTGCTTCTACACTGGGGGTTGGGGCGATGACACTGTGGGCAAAGCATGTGCTGCACACGTTTTAGAACATGAGTTCAAATCCTAAGAGCCCATGCAAAGTGAGGCACGGTAGCACACGTCTGTAATCTCTGCACTCCTAACAGTGAGATGGGAGGAAAGCCAGGAGGGTTCCTGGAAGCTCGAGGTCTGGTAGCCAGGCACATGTACGCCGAACAACAAAGATACCTACCTTAAAGAGGTGAAAGGTGAGGACTGACTTCCAAGGTTGCCCTCTGACCTACTATCATGTCTGCACTCACACTTATGAACACACACACACACACACACACACACACACACACGCAGCACAGCACTGTTGAAACTAGACACTGGCATTTTCCTATAACAGATTGAGTACTAACCCTTAAAGGACTCAAGGAAGAAACTGTAAATTATTACTCAAGAAAGAATACATGAATGGGATGCAGTTGCCAAGGCATGAGGGTTTCATCTGATGTGTAAGAAATAACCAAGTGCAGGCCTAAAAAGGCAAATTGTCAATAGTGGGAAAGTGTTCTTAAAGCAACTATCACAGTACATAAAAGTAGCACCAAAACAAAGGCTATGGGAACTCTTGGAAAGACGATCAGATTTATGGCATGATTTCTTAATGACAAGCGTATCTGGACTGGTTTCAAAGTTCTATAGGTAAAGCGATTGCATCTCTATAATGAGGTATAAGTACCCCGAACTACCCTCTGTTCTGCAGACAGCACCTCTTAAGAGAGATCTGCAGTTGATGGAGCTAAGAAGTGTGTGTTTAAATTCTGCCTCTGGCCTTCTCTCAGAATGCTTGGACTTTACATCTGTCTCTTTCCCACTGTCAACAGAAATTCCCTAGGAAAGAACTTAGGAGAAAGGCAGAGCTGTGTTGCAGTAAGCAGTTTGCGGAGTGAGGAAAAGTCAGCCTTCTGGGCAGTAGTGTTCTGGAAGAAGAGAGAGAGGGGCTAGCATACAGAGAAGGTTCTTGTCCAGCCTCCCGCTCCAATCCACTGTGCAAATGAGGGAGGCAAGCATGCTCACTCTTGACTAGTCAATACTTAAATGTGATTTAAAGTCAGTGGGTGAAATGGGACTTTCATCAGCTGTTCTTCTAGGCAGCTAAAGCAAGAACATCTGGAAAGAGCTACAAAATTCGGCCTGTGGTTCTTCCAGGAAGACTCGATATGGAATTTGCACCTGGTAAGCCACTTGGAACCCTTCCTAGAGATTGTGATGTTCAAGTTCACACTCTGTACCCTCCTTAGCTGCATCTGAGCCAGGAAAAGTGTGCAGTTTCATTAAGAAGAAAACCCTTTCTCAGAACACCCACAGTGCAACCCGTGCATGTCACAAGATCTAGTCTGCCTCTGCCTCCCTCCTGGAATTCCAATAGCAATCCAGAATTTCAGCTTCTCAAGAACAGAACTATTAAAACTGAGGAAATTTACTTTTTGTGAATTTGTGTTTTCTTGGGATTGCATTATAGCCTAATACTAGCATCATGGGCAACACTGTGGTTGTTCACACAGGCTGGTGCCAGCGAGGCCTTCTCATCCCATCAAAGTCTTTGTACATGATTTTGGTCAGTGGAACTAGAAATGATCAACTTCCCTGGAATTTTCATTAATCAAATTTCACAAGTTTCTCATTTTTTCATCAGAAACAGAATGAAACCACTGCTTGGGGGAGTTCAGCACACCAAATGGCTGTAAAGCCATCCTGCTAATCCAGCTGTGGAACTAGAAACGGCAGCAAGTACTCCTCCCTGAAAATCACCTGCCTTGGTCACTTACCAAACTTGCCTGTTCCTCTGTCCACACTCTGACCCTCTTCAGCTTCTCTAGGTGGGAAGCGTTGCTGCATATATCAAAGATTTTGATACTCAGCAAACTTCTTTATCAGGCATATTCCTGAGGCACTGTGGTAAGAGTTTGGGGATGGCCCATTTAATCTGTCATGTGCTATGCCACTGCATCAAAGTCTGGGTTCTGGGGAACTTCACTGACACCTTCAACAAATACTGAGCGGGCTACTTGTGTGGGAGACATTGCTCTGAATATTCATGACAGAGCATTGATTACTTTTCCGCAAAACAAACAAAAAACAAAACCAAAGACGTTTGTGTCCTCCCGGAGCTTACATTATGATGATGTGTCCAGTTAAGTAAACAAAGTATTATAACACAATAATAATCTGTGACAT